TTTGATAAATAAGTGTAAATCACGATTTAAGATAATTCGTGCTTATGATGCATCTTTATCTTGATAAAAAAAATATTAAGTATACCACGGCTGAGGGGGGTGTTATTACACCTGTAACGTCCCCCCTGGCTACGCGCCTGAGTCTATAAGTTAGATTTCAAATTTCACTTACTTATATTTAGATTATACTTTCCATTCGTAGCCATCGTGTAAACTGAAATAACTTAWACTGAATTATTGAAACGAACTGAATTGAATTGGTATACTGTTTTCTGATCCAGCGGTAAACATAAGCAGCCAAACTGGAGCAAACAAATTGCGATTAATAAACTAGATGTTAATAGAGGTAAGCTTCAGTGACAATAATAATCAAAAATAAACCAATAATATAGCCAGGATGGAAAAAATATCTACCAAAAACATCACTTTTTTAGGTATTTCTTGTGTGTACAATTTATATAATGTATTTTTTTTTTTTTATTGATCTTTATAGCTTCGGCGACATGGGCCATTAGCTTTATACATAATTTACATTATACTATTACTTAAAATTTACATGTTTTAGGTGACAATTTAATTACAATAATAAGGGCTGTTGCAGACTATATTTATTCGAATTAAATGTATTTATCTATTTTGGTTGTCCTGAGGAATGACATGATTTTTTCGGGTTGACAGTCGGATCCGATTTATATAATGTATTACCTAAATATTTATAAATAATATATCCTAAAAGGCTAAAAATAAAAAATAAGTTTTAAATAAAATAAAAATGTTGCACTTACTATYGGCAGAAAATAACAATATGTCTAAAAAATTATAAGTATAATATACCTGAGTTCTATCCGCTACAAATATTTAATCTATGGCTTTAATATTACATTCCTATTATAATTAAAGTATAATACTTACTTGATAATTTACCAAAATTATAGTATTTACGAATCAAAAATATAATATATTTTATATTTACGTATAAGAAAAATAGATAAACATTAAAATAATATTAAAATTATGAATTATAAAATAATCTATTAAGTAGAAGAAGTCGCGTAGTACTTACACTTGTACAATACTATAATGGCACCATACAAGTTAAGAATCTATCTAATTCTCAATAAAATATATGTATTATATATAGGTACTCTATAATCAATATTATGATAGATTGATAACCAGTTTTTTGTCCATCGCAATTTCTGTGGTAATTAGTGGTGCCTACTTACTTATAATTGTAGCGCCGCAGTGGTTACCAATAATACCGGTAATTGTTTTTAAACTAATATTACCTTAGTCTGTAGTTAATATTATAAATAATGTTTTTAACCTACACTTCTTAGGTACCATTGTCCTCAATAAACAGTTCATATTACATGACATATGGCCAATAATAATGTTCTATAGGTACATAAAAGCTGATACATAGACATTTGTCGTCTTATTCTGTTTTGTATTGACAATAAATTGATTACAATAATTATCTATAATAAATAACAACATTAATAAGCAATATTGATTTGAACAAACATACAGCCCCTATATATGTTGTAGTGAACCTCGGCACGAAGTGTATAGTCTGAAGTTGAAAATAGATAATATGCG